CACCTGCCGTGTGCCCCCGTCCACTCAGCGGGGTCGCAGCTGCCTCTGGAAAGGCACCGAGAGGGACAAAATGGCGCAAATGGTCAAATCAAGGTTTTGTAACGCGAGCTGTGCCACAGTGAAATGGAACTAGCCCTAAGGCACACGAGGGTAAGTAAGAGAGAACACAAAGATAGTAGCTCAACTGCGCGCGAGAGGTCAGGAGAGGTCAGAGGACTTGTCAGGGGTCTCACGGTACACAGAGTCCTGAGGCTCACGGCTGAGGTCAGAGCCTCTCCGTCGACTCTCGTCGAACACGCGGGAAAAAGGAGGGAGTGGGCTTTGCGCTTGGCCTCAGGCGCGCAGACCACCCGAAGGCTTAGTTCTGCCGCCGTCATACTGCGCAAGCATCCACCCGCGAAGGGTCGAGTGGCCAGGAGCGATTAGCTCACGCCCACCTCCAAATTTTTGGCGATGAGCAGAATCGCGAGCGGCACCGCGAACTGAGCAAGTTTCTGGAAGCACTCCTTCCCAAAGTAGCCGTAGAGGAAGATCGCCTCCAGGCTCGAGGAGACTCAGCAGCACTCGGGCGCGCCGTCGCGGAAGATCCCTTTACGCGTCTCGCTGCAAACAGCCTGGGTCGGCACGCGATGCGAGACGGCGGGAGTGCGAGAGCCGGCGAGAGGCACGACGAGCGCGGCGGTGGGCGCGGTAGCAGCAAGGAGAAGGCAAAGGCCGCGCATGACGGGAGAATGAGAGCGAGGCCGACAGATCTTCTTCTCGAGGTTCTCGACGCGTCGAGGGGCCGCTGCACGGCTCGAAACGGGTCCCGAGCATACCCGCTGTGTTCGAGGATCTCACGTACCAGGACCGAATGGGCGAGCACCACCGACTGGAGGGCTCGCTTCTCGACACTGGTGCCGGAGTCACGGTCGTCGACGAGGCTACCGCAGATCGCATGTGCAAGGCGGGCGCCGCGGTGATCGACCGGTCGAGCACCGGAATCACGCTCTCGGGCGTCGGCTCGCGGAGAGTCGTGGGCACGCTGCGCATGCGAATCGCCATCGCAGCGACTCACCTGGAGAGTGGGCGAACGACGCGATTGCGCTATGAGCATGTCGGCCTCGTGGCGGAGGGAGACGACCAAATTCGCATCTTTGGCAACGACTTTTCCTACACTCACGTGAAGGATGTAGCGTTGGGTGAGCATCACGCCATCCTATGGCACGGCGGCGAGTTGCACCGGGCCAACATCGTCACGGACGTCAAGCTCAAACGCATGTACGAATGCGCTGCCGAAGGCGCGTACGCGTGCGGCAGCGAGGGCAGCCCCCTTCGAGAGCTCACCCACGCCCACCGCAGCCCCCTCCCGGAGCTGATGCCGGCGGGCGAGTTCTGGGACAGCCGGTGGGGGATCCCGCGGAGGTACGGCGACGCCGGCCCAACCCCGCTCGCCACCCTGGCTGCAAGCGAGGGCTCCGCAAGGGCCGCCGACTACCTCGAGCCGGCGATGCCCTCGCCGACCACGCCACCGAACCTCTTCCAGCCCGGCCCGCGGGGGCCCGTCGCGGTGGCGGAGTTGCGGATGCACGCGGGGCTGCAGCACTACAGCCCGGTGCCTCTCCCGTACGGGATGCGCGTGATCACCGTCTGGGCCGGCGAGCACGGCGCGCTGCACTTCTCGCTTGACGGGCGGATGTTCGTCACCGAGGTCGACGCCGGCCTGGACATAATGCGCGGCGACCAGGTCCTCGAGGTAGCGCCCTGGGTGTTCGACCCAGAAAGGCGTGGGGGGAACCCCATCGCGCCGGAAATGGGGCGGGGCCTCGAGCCCCTCAAGGACCACAGGCGCCACACGTTCGCGCAGCGCGGGCAGGCGGCGCGCTCGCTGCTCCCGCTCCCGGGCCACCCCCACGACGTACGCCTCTGGCGTCCCTTCGACGAAGTGGGAGAGGGCTGGGATGTGCAAAAGCTCTCTGTGCTGCGCAACCTCGTCCTCGCGACCACGCGAGCACGCGTGGCGCGCCTCGCCGCCAAGGAGGCGGTGAACCACTGCGAAACCCACGTGCTGACCATGATCTCGGGCCTCCGCGAGGTGTGCGAGCGGGACCAGGGGGGCGGCACGCGAGCCGCAACGGCCACGGATACGACAGTGGACTTTGTCCTTCGGCGCGCGATGGACCTCATCACCTCGCGCAGGTCCCTGCTCGCCAAGGTGGGACACACCTGCTGGAGGGTGCGCAGGCCGGAGTACTGCGAGCACCTCGCCCTGATGCTCGTCTGGTACGAGTTCTGCGCCGGCCTCGACCTCACCGAGCCGATCCCGAAATATGAGGAGGACCTCTGCGGGAGCGAACGCGCCCTCGCCCCCCTGATGCGGCTCCGTGGCGCCATCCGCGCGGAGATCATGGAGCGCGTGGCGCAACGGGCTAACGCGAGGCGTTTCGGCGTCGGCGCCGCCCTGGCGGCGGCGGCGGCCCGCCAGCGGGGCCGCCCCGGGGACGTTGGGGACCCCGCCGCAAACCCCGTGCACCACCCTTCCAGCGGGCGAGTCACCTGGCCCCGCGCGGCCGAGCAATCAGCGCCTTCGAGCGCGGCCGCGCGCACCGCCGGCAGGGAGACCGGCGGGCCGCTCTACGGCGCGGCGACCCCCGGTGGCGGCGGCCGACCTCACCCTCACCCCGAGGCCGGCCCCCGCCGTGCGCCTCCCGCACCCCTCGGGCCTCAGTGCCACCATTCCGGTAACCCGCCCCGCGACAACCGGTTGAAGCTGGGGTTCCACGGTCAGGGGATGGAGGGTGTCGAACTGGATGGGGGTCAGCCAGGGAGGCTGTTGTGGCGCACCGGACAGCCCCCCAGCACCGTGCCCCACCCAACTGCATCCATGGGAGTCACAAACGGTGCTGTACTCGCGGCTGCAAGCACTCACGACACTCAAACCCACCACCTGCCTCCTACCCTGTATGTACGAGGAGCCATTTCACCCGTGCAACATCTGCACAGGTGTACCGCCGACGCTCCAGCGCCCGGCCCCTACTAGAGTAGTCTTGTGGGACCCACAAACGACCAATACATCCACTCGCGGCTGCAGCATGTGTCCGGGGGGGGCATCCCCGTGAAGCAGCCAGCAGGTGCCGGACACGGCGTTGGCCGTCTTGGACCGAGATCAGGGCGAAACTGCCTGTCTCATGGGGTTGAAGGACCGTCATGGGGTCGGCTTTGATGCTGCCAATCAGTCGGGTCGATAGGTGGCGCCCCAGCGAGATGCGTTGCGGGTGCTCGGCGTCGCCTGCTTGAGTGGCCTAAACGCACTCGCGGGAGCCAGAGAGCAAAGGTGTGCGCGAATTGAGGCTTCTGAGCAAGCCCAGGCAAGCCACAGGACCGGCCATGTGCGTGGGTAGTCGAGCGGTGGCCGGAGGCAGCCTCCAGTAGTGCCTCTCAGTTCGACACCTCGGTCTCGACCACGACCAGACTCGGAGCGGCACACAGCTTACGAGTTATCCTTTGGCAGCTCACCGCTTCGATCCTGTGTCGAGCCTGTCTGCTAAATAAATAAATAAAACGGGCACGCCAAAACAAAGGTTTTTTTAGATTCTTTTAGCCCGGCCGCACAATCCGGTTCTCGTTCGTCTGCATTCTCGTTCGCCTGCATGAAGCGCTCGCGGGGCGCCGACACGTCGATGTCTGACGACTCCCTCGTTCTCGTGACGGCGGACAACAAGAGCGGCTTCAAGAATGTGACGTATGACCTCCAGTCGAGGCGCTACGAGCTCCGCGTTCAGGTCGGCGGCAAGCGCAAACACCTCGGCGCCTTCAAGACGGCCCGCGAGGCCGCCGTCGTGTACGCTCGCACCGCCGAGGGCAAGGCGGACGCAGCTGCGCAGCAGAGGCCGACCGGCGCCGACGCGGCGGCGCACGCGGTGCGTGCGGCGGAGAGGGAGGGTCTTCTCCTCATCCCCGCCGACCGCAAGGACTCGACCACCGGCTACAAGAACGTGACGCACAACGTGGAGCAGAGCGGCGTAAGGAAGTACAAGCTGCAAATGCAGAAAAAGGGCAAGCGGCTCTCGTGCGGGCTCTTCGGGACCGCCGAGGAGGCAGCGCTCGCCTACGCTCGGACGCCCGAGGGGAGAGCCGACGCCGAGCGGCTCCGGAGGCCAGCGCCGGTGCCGCGGACGGCGGCGGCGATCGAGGCGGTGCAGCAGGCGGAGAGGGAGGGGCTGACTCTGGTACTGAGCGCAAACGCGACGGGGCGCGGACTCCGCCGTAGACACTTTTGGCCCTGATCGCTCGAGTGCCGGCCTGGTGAGCCCCTCGCCACCCTGCTCGAAGGTACAAGAACGTGACCGTCGACCAGCGGAAGAGCAAGTGCCAGCTGCAAGTCCGCGCCGCAGGACGGCAGCAGACCATCGGCATCGCTGCAGCTTCCTCCGAACGAGACCCGCACACGACGCACCCTCGCCGCTCTCTCGCTTAGGCCTTTTCGACTCCCCCGAGGAGGCCGCGCTGGCGTACGCACGCACGCCGCAAGGCTCGCTGTCCCTGGCGAGGGGGGGAGAGTGGAGTGCGGCTCTTGCCACCTAGGGTTGGGGTTAGGGTTAGGGTTAGGGTTAGGGTTAGGGTTAGGGTTAGGGTTAGCTCTTGACACCCGGCGGCGCTGTGAGTAGGACGCGCCGACGCGGAGCAGCAGCAGCGGAGGAGCGCCGCAACGTCGCAGCCCTCCTCCCGGCCTCCTTCCCTGCCCGCCTCCCTCCCCGCCCCCGCCCGCCCCGCACCCGCCGGCAGCGGCGGCTGGGTCGACGGACGGAGGCGGGAGGGGCGGGAAAAGGCGCGCGCGGCGGCGGCGCAAGCGGCAGCCGCAGCAGCTGCGCCGCATTCCACCGCCGCCGCTCCCCGCTCCCCCGTCGCTCGCTCCCCCGTCGCTCGCTCCCCCGTCGCCCGCTCCTCGCCCCGTTCTCCCCCGTCCCGGCCCGCCGCCTCCGCCGCCGCCCGCCCCGCCGCCCCACGCGCCTCCCCCCGCTCCGCCGCCGCCGTGGTCCTGGTCGGCAGGGCCGCCGCCCCGGCCGCCTCCACCCCGTCCGCCGCCGCCGCCGCCACAGCCCTGCAGGAGCTTGCGGCCGGGGGGGCCGGGAGAGGGGCCGCCGGGAGAGAGGCGGCGGTCGCTTGCCTCTTTACTTGCCCGGAGGGGCTCGACTGACGGGGAGGAGTGCGGCGGGCGGACGCTCGCTCGGGCTGCCGCAGCCAGCCGCGAGGGGGTGGGAGGTGGAGGGACGCAGCGTACGGTGCCGCCGCGAGCGGGCGGGTCTCCTCCTCTCCCCCCCGGGGCCACTAGCTGGCCCCAGATGTGGGTACACCACGGTAGACGGTAGCCTCGCTCGGTCGAGCTGCGCGTGGGGCTGGCGTGGGGTAGTGCGTGCATGTACTGTTAGGAGTTGTCGGTTGTCGCGACACGCGAGCTGTTCCAAAGCAGTCTACAATCCTATTTTGGACGTCTTGCTCATATCACATATTATCAGACATATATATGCGTTTGCCGTTTCCGGGGGTTCCCCGATTCGATGATATTTGATATCCTAGGTAAGTGGTATGAGTAATGAGAGATCATCTGCGATCTGGCAACGACCCAACTCGTCGACATCGTCCGATGATGGTGCCGCAAAGTGTCAGCTGGCAGGCGCGATGAGCGTCGTGCCACCTGACCCGAGACGGGTCGCAGGCGTCGTACCGAGCGCGTCGAGACCGTCTCCTGATGCGCTCTGCACGGGCGAGTCACCGTCGGCGCGTCAAAGGAGCGACGTGCGACCTGTCAGAGCTTGATCTCCGATCTCAGCGCGGCGTCGAGTCGTCTCCGGCGGCGACACTTTTGTACCTCCCCAGGACGCGAGGCAGCTGCGACCCCGCCGAGTGGACGATCACATGCACATGCACAACAACAACATGTACATGTACATGTTGTTGTTGCACATGTACATGTATGCATGTGGCAGGTCCCTGGGCGCACCAAAATCAAGATTGTGTAACGCGAGGGGAAATGATTTCTATAGTAAAATTTGGGCTCACGCGCCTGCTCTTCCTCTTGCTCGCCGCGCGGTCGGGAGCCGGAGTGGTTGGGTCGTGGGCCCGAGAGCAGTGATGTGCCATGTCGCATGTGTGTGTGTCCGCCTTGCGTTTGTTTCATAACATCGAAGGCTAGCTCAAAAAGAATTTTACCACAAACCCCGAGGAAAAATTTCTACGCGACGCTGAGAGTGTTTCTTAGCTCCGAGTAGAGGGGGCGCTCCGCCGCTAGGGGAAACCCAAAGCGCGGACTAACCCTCGGGGAGACCCGTGTTTGAGCGGCCGCACACTGCTCGGTACCCCCCCTGCACAACTAAGCTCATCCCTGCTGCTAGGGGGGGGGGTCTGACCCCCCCAGCAGCAGAGCGCACTGGACCGCCCAGCTCTCCCGCCTTTTCGCCGCCGCCCCCCCCCCCCTCCACCCTCGGCTCGTGTTTGAGCGGTACGCTCGAGGCGGTTGTGTTCACCGCGCCTTCGAGCCCAATACACCTTCGTCGTGTCGAGTGCTGGCGTTTTACTAAAGACTTGTGACCATGGTGAGTCTATTTTGTAATACCACACGCTAAAAGCCGTATAGTTAGTGAGCCACTCACTCGGGCGTCTCGGCTGACGTTGATCGATCAGCGTTGATCTCCCTAGCCTATCGATCACCAATGACGAGCATGCGAAGATAGGGAACAATATCTTGTACAGCCCGCTGAGCTCCCCGCTGTGCCACGGCGTATGATGGGCTGCGAGAGCCGTATCTTCCCTCCTTGAAGCAGAGGCGCCGCGAGGCACGAGAGAGGCGTAGAAGAGAGGCTGGCGTGCCCCGCACCTCCCGGTTGGCAGTAGGAGGGCCCGCCGGTGAGACCACTGATTTTGATGCCGACCATAAATTCTCGCCACTGCGCACTGGAACGCATGCTACTTACAGCTGCTGTCTGTACGCGCCAGTCCCGCCCCAGTGTTTTCTTGTAGAGCTCTACGCTAAGTACATCTAAAAAGGGCGGTCGAGTGCACGGAGCTAAGTGCCTCGCCGTCCTCGCGGGAGTCGCTTAGGCGGCTCCCGTGGTGTACCTGTGTTAGTGCCAGTGCGCGCCAGTCCCGTGCCCAGTGTCGTGCGAGGGAGTTTGTTTGTAAAATTCTTATCGAGACTCTTCGTTGTTGAATTCTTATCTCCTTGTCCTACCTGTTCTCTCGAGACGCGAAAAAAAAATCTCGGGTTGCGGTTCGGCGCGCCGAAGCGCACGCTGCTTGTCGCTCAGTGCGCTGCGCTGGCTCCGTGCTCCGTGTTGCGATATGCAGGCCGTTCGCCGCGCTATCGCTGTGGCGGACGAGATAGCCGCCGACGCCATTGGCAACCTCCAGGACAAGTACGGCGGCTCCAGCACCTCCACTGGAATGCACGCTGGAGGAAAGGAGCAGTTCGGTGCCTGCTCCCCTGCCCGCTCCGCCCTGGCGCATCTCTTGCACGGCGCAGCTCGCCACTTGCCACCCCTTGCAGCACGCGAGCCCTGCTCGTCTGCTCCCGCCTCTCCCGCCGCGCACCGCTCGCGCCTCCGCCAGCGTGGCGCCCGCTCTTCCGACAGGCGGACCTCCGCGGCTCGAGTCGGGCGCCTACTCGACCGGCCGGATGCAGGGCTTCGGCAGCAACGGGGCGACCCACCGCCCCGAGCCGGCGGAGCCGGAGCGGGAGCGAGGCTACGCAGGCAGGCGCGACTACGGCGCGAGCCACGGCCGCGGCGACCCGTACCAGCGGCCGGACCCGCGCGCGAGGAGGGAGGAGGAGGAGTGGAGGCAGCGGCAGCGCGAGGAGGAGGAGCGGGTGCGGCGTGAGGAGCTCAACGCGCGCGCCGCCCCTCCCCGCCCCCTCCTCGTACCAGCCTCCTCCCAGCCTTCCCAGCCTTCCTCCCAGCCTTCCTCCCAGCCTTCCTCCGGAGCCCTGTCTGGACTGCTCTCCGGGTCGCTCCCTAAGTCGTTCTCGAGGTCGTTCTGACCTGTCCGCAGGCGCGCGTCGCCTCGAGCCGAGGCTACGCCGTCCCAGGCCCGACGAAGCCGCGCGAGGGGCAGGGCCGCGCCCGGCCGCCCGAGCCGTCCCAGTACGGAGGGTCGGGTCGCATGCAGGGCTTTGGCTCTGGGGACGCACCTCGGCCGCCGCGCGAGCCGAAGATCGAGTCGGGTCCGCCCTTTCTCCGCGGGAGGGGTGCGGGTGGGCGAGGCCCCTCTCGACGCCTCTGTCCGAGGGCCGTAGGCTCGTACTCGTCGGGCCGCATGCAGGGTTTCGGCTCGGACGGGAGGGCGCCCCGGCCGGACCCGGCTGGGCAGGTGGCCCCAGGGGCAAGCCTCGCCGAGCCGTTTTTGAAGCGGCTCTGAAGCGGCTCTGGACCTTCCCGTAGGTCGGCAGGACCGCCTACCCGAGCAGGCATGGCCAGCCCGACCCCCCCCCCCCCCGGTCCTTCCCTCGCCCCCCACCGCCCCGCCTTCGCCGCCCCGCTCTCTACCCCACTGCCCCTCCCCACTCCCCTCCCGCCCCCCCTCCCCTCCCGCCCCCTCCCCTCTCCCCCTCCCCTGCCCAGCGGCCGGTCCTACGACCGCGACGAGGCGGCGGTGCGGGCGGCCAATGAGCGATTCGGCCGCAACAACAACAGCCGCAGCACCAGCAGCAGCAACGACGACTACTACGGGGGCGAGAACGCTGCTCGCATGATGAGCAAAAGCCGCGGCAGCCCCGGGGGCTACCGTGGCGGGGAGGGGCGCCGCCCTGGGGAGAGAGACGGCCACGCGGGAGGAGGAGGCGGAGGCCGCGCTCCCGGCGGTGGGGGGCATGACTTGTGGGCAGACGGCACTCTTCACACCTCTAGCTGTGAACAGGCGACCTGTGGGCAGACGGCACTCCGCGCAGCGCG